TATTTTTTAGTGCGTCAGAGAAATATTTTACTAAACAGTAATTGAAATTGATTAATTTAAAAAAAAAAATTTTTTCTACTACCTCCTTAAATTAAGTTTTCAAAAGAGCTTACATTTGCAAATGATTGTTTGACCATTTCCATCGTAAAACTATTTTCCAATTTGCATTGTTTACTAAACAAAAAATCGTGAGAGTATGAAAACGCTTTGTCGAAAAATTTTGAGTAAACTGACTTTAAATCAAGTTTAGTCTTTAAACATTGGAACATTTCAAGGAGAAGCATTTAAAAGTGATCAATACATGTGTCCCACATATTCAACAGCAAATTCTATTTGAAGCTTGAAGTTTACATTCATGAGGATAATTATTCTTGACGTTGCGAAATACTCTTTTCTCTCCTCTATATAGGAGTATATATGTATACAAGCAGCGAAGTATATATCTCCGGGTTCGATGGACCGTCGACGAGAACGAAAACAGAAAAATAAAAATTTCCAATACAGTTCCATTATCCAGAGACCTAGTTTTTCGGGAAGTGCCAATCGATTCAGAGCAATGCCAGTTTTTCTACACTCAGAGAGAAAGAGAGAGAGAGAGAGAAGAAAAAAAAAGAATATTCCCAATCAAATTCATCCCTCACAATATTTCTATATACTTCAGGAGTTTATCCTTCACTATTGTTTTTCTCCCCTTGATGTTGTATTTTTATCAATTTTAAAAATGGCATTGTAACAATTTTAAATTTCACTCGACAAGGAAAATTCTGTAAAAAAAAATTTATATCATCCTGTAACTTTCACACACTAAACTAAATTTATATATCATATAAAATATAATTTTATATACTGTATACTATATATAAGAATATCGATATAAGAAAAACGACTTGGAAGATAAAACCTTAAAAGTCTTGTTCCGTGAAATAAAAATGAAATTTCCAACTATTTATATAGAAAAAAAAGGAAGAAAATTGCGTTTGTTGATAGTAATTTTGAGTCAATATATTTTTCTGAGTGCGCGCACTTTTATATAGGATTCTGGTCAGGTTCATATATAGTAGAATATAATAAATGCCATCATCTGACATAAAATTATAGGGGTTCGATTCCTATCATGGCCATTAAGACTCCCTCATGCGCGTTAATGCGTAGTGAGAAGAAAAATTGATCGCTGTTCAGAAAGGAAAAGTTAATGGCGATAGGACAAAAATACGTATATATAATATGCAATATACTATATATATATATATGAATACGCGACGATGCGTGAGTAAAACGAATTACGTACATGCACTTGCATAATAATGTGGAATTCCCCTTGTTCATTATTGGAAAATGTGCTCCTTGTAAAGGATGCCAATAATTTTTGAAGGTCGCGTCATCGAATTTAAAAAAAAGGGGTCGAAATAAATCTTACGTGTCAATAAACAATGAAAAAGAAATTTTTAAACAATATAAAAAAAATACATTAATCTCTTTCAAATAATTTACGATCATTAAAATATTAATTATTTCTTAGGATTATTAATTATTTATTAGGATTATTATTTTAGTAAAGAATTCTGAATATTAGTGGAAATTTTACTGAAACGATTCACGTTTAAATTTCAACTATATTTTATTAGTGAAATCTCATTGATTCAAATTTAGAGAGTATAATAAATAGAAAGTAGAAATTTTATTTAAATGATATACTTTTAAACGTGTTATTTTATACCTTACTGCAATAGTGCTTAATTTTTTAATGACAGATGTGACCTTTTACTTATATTGGGGCAGAGGAAAGATATAAAAGCTCCCACAGCTCTCTTTGGGGCGATATAAATTAATCCACACGTTAAGGTTCTACGATTTATAATTCTAAACGTTTAATGTTATCTGATCACGTTATGTTATATATTTTCTATTATTGATGTCCTTTCCAATATTTTTCGTCTATATACTTTTGTCTAAACTACATGTCATAATTAAATTTCAACAAATGTGTAACGTTAATTAAAAATCATTTAATATTTCACATCTGTTCAAAACGAAATTATATTTCCTTAATTTCAAAAATTATCTTTTAGTTCATAAAATTAAATATTTGTGACAAAGGAGAGTCAAATTTCACTTTAAAAAAAATGGGGGAAGAGCTAGGGTATAAAAATAGATGAAAGAACGATTAATAAGCGATCTCTAATTATTATTTTAACATATGTTTTTGGGGGAAAAAAGTTTCTTTAGATTTTAAATTTGAAACATTTTTTTTATCCGTAACATAAAGAAGAAGAAAAAAGTTATGAAAACAAATTTTGTTAAATTAAAAAAACATGTGATTTAACGCTCACATAATCTGTAATAATTAATTAAACGTTTTATTACCGCATGATTAAATCATAAATTAGCTTTCCCATGATCTTGTACGGACGCGCACTTAAACACTAAATTCATGGCAATTATAATTTCAAACATAGTGGCATGTCTTGTCACAAGCATATTATGCGTTTCTGTGCGCATATATTTAATGAAAACTTTTTTTTTTAAATAAAAGCTAGAGGCTATAATTAGCCAACAAACTCAATTCTATATTAAGTTTTGTTTTTAAGTTAGAAATTAAATATATTCTCTTTGAGTGAAATTTTATAAACATAAAATTAAATCTTTCTAAACGCATATTTTATAAATATTATAGTATAATGTTTATTACATTTTATTTTAGAATAAACTTCCAATTATATGAAATGTGCAATTTGTTTTAAAATATAATTTTCATAAAGTTTTCGCGCTAATTATATTTATTCCACACACAGATGAGTAGAGTATAGTTAATTTTCCTTTACGACCTTCATTGAAGCTAAACATGCAGAGTGCATGTAGCATTTATTAACATTTGCATTTACACAGATAAAATGGGGGAAAAAAAAAATTTCACTAAATCTCCTGAACTTTAAGTGTCCTATTCTAGTTTGTACATTGTGAAATTATTTCATTGAGATATCACGTCCAAGAGGAACAATTTATATCTAGTATATTCATATCGGATTAACTTTTGTATTATACTTTGCCATTAACTAGTCTTGTCGCGAGGGAACGTGCCAGATTAACCTGTACGATAATATACTTTTCTTTGTCCATGGAATTTATAAACGCGATGTATATATATATATATATATATATATATTTGTATATATCCGTTGCATTTGTTTGTTTCTATATAGTTAAAGAAAAAAAAAATTGTTCGAGGGATGTACCTCCAACTCGTTAGAAGATGTAACAACCCGGCAATTCATGGGAAAAATAACAAGCATTAGTACATATAGTCCTTGAGTCATTTTTTTTTCTTTTCATAGTTTTGCGGATATACCAAATTTCCCAACAATATATACTGAAAAAAGCGTTAGGATTATCGTGAATATAATGGGAAATGATGATAATTTACCATATAATCATTACGTCAAGAATTTTTATTCTTAATAAATAAATTCAATTTTTGTTATCCTTGCCCCCCGATTAAATGGGAAAATAATCTACATTTTGGAAATATCTATAAATATTTCGAATCGTCATTCATCAATTTCAACCAAGTTTTTAGAATCATTAAGGGGAAACTCATCTCTCTTTTTGTTTCATCATTTTCTTTTTCCATCTCTTTCTATATCATTATTTTAACTTACAAAAACAAGTTTGTTGTTTCTAAAAACATTTCAAAGAAATAAATCCCCTGAAGAAGGTGATTATAGTCTGACACTAAAATATTGACATGTGATTGAGGACCAAAACTATTATTCTACATTTATCCTATATTCAACAGATTTAAATATCGAGAATACAATTTTAAAAGTTTTCTATAAAAAAAAACACCAGCAAAATTGTTTTTTAATAATAAAAATAAAGATTTTAACACATGTCCTTCAAATAGTTAGAGTGCAATAGTCAGATTTCATGAGAATTGTTCAACCCCTAAAAAAAACGCCCCAAGGGGGTTCGAACCCTCAACATGCTTGAGTAAACCAAGCTCAGTATTTTAAGCGCATTAACAACTGCGGCTATCATTAACTTCAGAATCTTGATAACGCTGCACATGACTGGATATAAGGAAATAATTTATCAAAAAATAAGAAATCAATACTTTCAATGTTTCTTCAATACTGATTGTAAACAGAAATGTTAAAAATATAGAATTCTTATTTTTGCATAATTTAAATTTAGCCATTACACAGTTTTCTTGTGTGTATCAAATTGATACAAGAATTAAGATCAACTCATGCAACGTTTTGATTCGATATAAGGTAGCAAATTGATCCAAATATTTGGATCATTTTCAAGAAATGATCCAGAATATGGGATCATTTTTTGATATCTGAATTGGTATCAAAGTATAACTGTCATGGCTGGCATGCTCTTATTGACAAGTTTATTAATTAATTTATTCACTGCACTGATAATTCAGATATTAAAAATACTTTTATTATGAATTTTAAGAAAGAGAGAAGCGAAAACTTATAAATTGCTAGCAATTAAATAAGAAAAAATTTATTTCGAAATAAAATGAAATACACTAACATTTATTTATATTTATCACATAAGATTTAAGTTAAGTTCACAATCACAACACTTGAAAATTTTTAATTATTTTTATGGTTCAAATAATTATCAATAATTTATTTATTATAAATGAACAAAATTTAAGCAATACACGCTTGATAAATATTTCTAATGCGTTGTCAATTAATGCAGGTATCAAAAAATGATCCCATATTCTGGATCATTTCTTGAAAATGATTCAAATATTTGGATCAATTTGATACCTTATATCGAATCAAAACGTTGCATTCCAAAATGATACCATCAAGTTTACAGTGATATGTATCATACTGTCTTCTACGTCTTTTGTCTGTCTTTTTCATACTGTCTTCATCTTCCATGATTGTTAGGAAAAATTTCATTACTAATTAAAATATAAATAATTGATGACCCTGTAATTATCGGCAAATGACAAGAGAAAATTATGCACTAACCTGCCGAAGGCGGAGACACTAGCTGGAACGGGGAAAGGTAGACCCAGACTAAGGCCCCGGAGACCTAGGTGAGGTGGCGGAGGATGCAAAAAGCCTCCCACAGGGGGCACAAGTGGCACTCCTGGTGCAGTCGTTGAGACCACGCATCCATGATCACCTGGATAAGTCGGTGGCATCGAACATGATCGTAAGGCTCTTCGATGCTGTCTCCTCATTCTCCTCTCCCATCTTCTTGCATCGCGTACCTCATTCGCTTCCTGAGTAGGCAGTGAAGTAATTTGCGGACCAATTTGGGGTCCCACTTCCGTTTGCGCCTCCGTCGAGGTGTAGGAGCGGGGATTCTCATTGGTCTGCTCAATCTGCGGAACATGTGGATCCTGCTCCGCCTCGGGGTTAACAGTAACATTTTCCACGACACCTCCATCAACGGTGACGACACTTATGGGCTGTGGGGCATTCCCAGAAAGCGCCCCGGCCATTGTACGCTCCTGAACATCGGTCTCCACAGGAACGCTTTACCCCCCTTTCTCTCTTTCCCCTTCCCAACAACTCACTCGCTCTTGCTGCAAGAGTTTCGGTCACCTTTCTTTGTCAATGTTTGGTCGCTTCTCTCTTTTCTTCATCCAGAGTTACGCTATTCGTCCCTCTCTCTCTTTAGCTTCTCTTCTCTTTTTTTTCTTTCTTTTCAGGTTCTCCTCTCCCTCTGGGCTCTGGAATGACGACAACCTGACTCTGTTTCTCCTGTAGCGGAACGCGAGTCCGCTTCTTTGTCCAAAGGGATCACGCGGTACGCGAGATGAAGGTGGTTCTCCACTTCCTCGAGGTTCAGACTCTTAACCGCGGCTCTCTTTAACGACTGTACGGGTTAATTTTGCACGGCCATTAGGAGAGCTGCCGTGCAGATTTGCTGAGTCGATTTGTCCACTCACAGAGATGATTCCTTTCTTTTATGGATCTTTGTAGGAGAAAAACAGGCACAATGTCACGGATCAGTGAATACTTTGGCTTCGGTTTTTGGAACCAAGGTTATTTGTTATATATATATATATTGACAATCAGGACACCTTTCTGTTCGACTCGAAACGCTCCTTGGAGCGTCTTGATGCTCCTTTTTGTAAGAAAAATTCTAAATTCGTTCCCATGAAGAGATTCAAATTTTCATTTCTTTTAATGATTTTTCTTGAAATTTTTTTTCCTGTTTGGTGGCTAGAAGTCCTGGCAGACACTTTGGCCGCTGTACCGCTTCCACCTTTGGTACACAAGTCACGTCAGCATGATCTGAAGAAAGAAAGAAAAAAATCAGTGCGTCTTAGCATTCTCCTAAAAGGAACGATTGCACTTTTGCGCCTACATTGCTCTTGGCGAACGGTCGTGACCGCTTGCCAAGAGTGAACAACAATCTGGCGCGAGGTGCCACCGACAGATCGCTCCAGATTGTCACAGTGCTCGATTTCTTAGTTTAGGTGAAGGATGCAACCGAGAAGATTCTTTAAAATTTCGTTTTTTTTTTTTTAATGTGGCAAGGATTCCTCTCAGAGGCCTGAAAGGAGATACAAATTCCCTGAATCGCTTTGTACAATCAGAGCCAATCAAGCGTGGAAGTAATGTCAATGTTAAATTTGCATACTCATTATTTTTAACAACTATAATATTGTAATTGTAAAGAAAACAAAAAAAAAAAATTTTTAAATAAAATAAAAGAGAGAATGTAACAGCTAAATACGTTAAATAAGTGGGGAAAAAAAACATTAAAAATATGACTAAAACAGACTTTAAATTAATTTTTAATTAAAATATCCCCTATGCACGGATTAATTTACTAAATTCTATAATTTTCATTTATTTTCAAATTTAATGCTACAGTGACACATCAAATTACATTTTATTGTTTGAAGCAACGTAAAATATTTGACATTACATACATGTCACTAAAAGCATAAAACACACCAACATATTTTAACAAATATGCTGACTGATTTTGAACATTTTGATCTATCAACAACTGACACTTTTGAAATTCACTGCATTTGAAAAAGTCATTTTCAATATTATCAATCATTGTATAATGCTATGAATAAAATGTATCAATCATGTTTCAGTCAGTGTTAAATTGATTGATTTGAAAAGTTCCTCTTGTAAGTTAAATTAAAAACTAATATTAAAATATAAAAATAATTTTCTATCTTTATGATTTATATTTTTTATTGTACATACCATATTACTATTTCTAATTGTGTTACTGTATTTTAAAAATATAGATATAATTTATTTAAACATTTTGTTTTCCGAGGCATTAAATTATTTAATGCAGCAAATAACTTTCGAGTAGAGAATCAAACCAAATTTCAGTACTGAATAATTTTGAGGTTTCCATATATACAAGTACAAGTGGAGAGCGTCAATTGGAATTGAAAGGATAAGTGGAATACAATGAGATTTAATCGAAACATTGAATATATAGCAGAATGAATGTATGAATTTTGCAAATGACAAAATTTTTATTGCAAATCGAATAAATCTGTGTATAAATTCTATTAGCTTCTAAAATAAAAATCATTTCTTTTCACAAATGTTTTTAAACTACTGAAAAGTAAACTAAAGGACAGCAAAAAAAATTTCCAAAAAATTATAGAAAAAAAAAATGCATTTCTTGAAAATTATAAAATTGTTCATAAATACAATTCCCGGGGTAATTGTATTTCCTATTTATAGAACGTCACCTTCGGTTTGGAATACTATTTTTGTGAGTTAGGTTAATTAGAAAGTTACACTTCTATGCACTTAATTCGAAAGTGTTTGTATTTGAAGGCAGTTAATTTTGAAAGCGTTAAATGTTTAACTGTATCTCCGAAAAAAAAATCTGCCAATTCTTGTAAACTATCTGTAAATAGGATGAAAATGAAAATTTTTTATACATTTATTAATTCGATACTTTTGTATTTTTAATCAAGACAACAATTTAATTAACTACTGGAAATATTAAATTATATAACATTTTTAGATACCAATATAAGATTTATAAAATCATATTATAATTTTTGTTCAGCAAAAAAGAGATACTTTTATTTTTACATTAACTCCGCGATTCAAAAACTATATAAAAATTTAGTGTAAATAAAAGAAAAAGAAGACTAATGTAGTTCAAATATAAAGGATTTGCATAGTCATTTGTTAAGGGCGATTAAGTTCAGCCTTCTCAAGCAAAATGTAACATAATTTATCGTCCCCAAAGCCACAAGAAGTTATTTCTAGATTATCATGTATTATAAACTTGGGTCACTATATTCTAAACTATATACAATTCTGTAGATATTCCCCGAGCGAAAAACTTATTTATTTCATGTTCAACAATATTTTTGGATTTTTTTTTTTTTTTTTTTTTTTTATTCTAATTTACAATTTGTCATCTAAAGGAGGAATTTTTTCCTATATACTTAAATCTTATTTTTATCTTAAAAAATTCACACTGAAAGAAATTTTTACCCAAAGAAAAAAAAAACGTCTCAAAGCTAAATAAATATTTGTTTCAAATAAATTTTACTTGGTTCAAATTAAGAATTTTATTTTTACTAAATAAAATTTTGTAACTAATAAATTAATAAAGAAAATAAAACTAATAAACTAGTTCCAAATTTTTTAAAATAAATAGAATTTTTAAACATAAAATTGTATAATTTACTGTATTATAAATATTTTAATAAAGTGTACTTAATTAATTATCACAAAGTCTACTTTCTTATTTTAATTTTGTAACAATTCATCACCTGAAGGAAGAATTTTGATTTTATCTAAATGTTCTCATTTTGTCTCTGGCAGACGTTTAATTTGAACATTGAATTTTTTTTGTTTTGCTATGTATAATTTACGCAAAATTTCTTTATAGTAGAAGTTTAACAATTCATCATTTTGGTGTGTACAATTTATTTTTCACACTTTAATTACGTCTTTTGTAGAAGAAGGAGGTGCAATTAAAACTTGGCATGCGAGTTTCTCGTAAATTGTATAGTTATATGGAATGAGAAATCATAAATTTGTAAAAAATTCTGTGGAGACAAAAATAAAATAGAAAAAAAAAAATAGTGTAATTCACGCATAACAGTAAAAAAAATTATAATTCCTGACTTTGTAATTTTTAATTTAGCTATTTTTTTTCTTTAAACTTGTTTCTGTAAAATTTTACTTGAAAATCAGTTTTCATCAAACATTATAATAATTGTAATGAGATATAAATAAAAATTCATTAAATTTATTATACTTTCAAAAGCGCGCGCGCACTCGTTTGCAAGAAGATTTTAATCAATTATCTATACATATGAAAATAATATTAATCTTTCGACCTTCCTAATTAGCACACTGAATACTAATTAAATAAATACAAATTTTTTTTTTTATGTGAATTTGTTAACGCGGCATTTAATTATAATGATGGAAGCGATTCGACACCTTTTTATAATTTTACAAGAGATGACTTTTTTTATCTTGTGTAAAAATCTTAAAAAAATTATTTACGTTTGGAAACTGTTTTCTTCTGTTTAATAATATTATTATTTGGTATAAAATGAATTATTTTTTTTTTCATGACAATTTATTTTTTCCTAAACGTTACTTTAAAAAGAGAAGAGAAATTATATTTTTTAACGTGAGATTTTGTTATTATAAATAAATATTTGAAAGTAATGAGAGTAAATTTTATGAATATTTTATCGCTAATTTCATAACAGTCGCGAGATGTGTAACTGTACGTGAGGACGTTCGAGAATATTGTGTTTGCGAACGACCGTTTTGACAAACGGTACTCGCAAAGTATTATATATAGAAGTTCGTTTCTGTGGTTTAATCGCGTGAACACACGTTTTATATATATATGCAATATTATTATATATATCGCGGATTGACATAGAGGAAAAAAATGCTTAAATTTTCAAATTCGATTTTCAAAATATTTTATACATATAATATAAGATTCTCGGCGTTCTTTAAAAGCGAAAAAAAATTCCAGGTAAATCTATCGGTTTGAACGAGTCACTCGGTACACATTGAACAACGCGACGTATAAAGATCGTTGGCCGTGACAATCGATTCTTCCACCAACTGACTCGATCAACTGATCCCTCTCAAATACCAGCGAAAATATACATATACCGCATATATAATATTCAACATATATATAGTCATACTGTCAGAAATTTATACATGGATATTTCCAATCATGAAATTCCAAACTCAATTTGAGAAGGAGAATTGTAAATTTTTTTTTATCTGCACTTTTGAAAATTGAATATTTTTCTCTATTTTATATATTCATTGTTTTCAAAAAAAAAAAAAAAAAAAAAAAAATTTTGAAGAAAATGAATTCAAAGTAAAAAATAAAGATTCAAATAAAGAGAAAAGTTATGTATTATATGATAATGATTTCCTAATAATTAATTACTGCAAAAACACATTATGTGCGTCAGATAAAAACGCGTAAAAGGAAATTAAAAGTTAAGAAACGGATGCTGCGTGTGAAAATTGAATTAAAAGAACCGTAAGTAATCGCCAAGCTAAAGTCGTAGAACCCTTTAGAGCGTTATGCTTTCTGCAACTTTCGCCTCTCTTGGTATCCTACTTTAAATATCCGGACGAATCGCAAAATATTATTTAGTTCAAATGGAAAATGTACACAGTGTGAATCAAAAACTTTATTTACAATAAGTGACATAAATTATCTCTTTTTCATTTTTTTTTTTAATATGATTTTCCTCAATAAAGAAATACATGAAGATTCTACAAGATAAGAAAAGGAATATATCGACAATTAGTAATTTACGATCAAAGTTTATATACTCCTTCCTGGAACTTGATATTCAAATTGCTGTGATATCTAACATTAGTCTCTCTTATACCCATCAATTGTCGATCATTATTTCACGAATTTAAAGAAAAGATTTCGAAAATTCGTTACAGAGAATAGCTTCTGGAAATCCCCCCTTTTTTTTGGTGGATCAATCATTTGATTTATTGTTGCTTCTCATGCTTCCATAAAGAAAATTAGAGGAAAGTGAAAAAAAAAATTTAAAAGCAAATATTTAATATATTAGATAGGGAAAATAATTACATCATTTACGAGAGTGAATGACAATATATGTATATATATAGTGCATGTTTTTTCAGTTAATTTATAAAAAAAACTAATCTTAATCTGACCAAGGCCACACAACTCTGCCTTTGTTTGTGATCATCACCGTAAATTTTTAACAATATTTATTCTATATTCTTTTCTCTTCTAAGTGTGGCAT